GCCGAAGATCCGATCGATCCAAGGGAGGCGATTCGCCAAGCCACACTGCGACGTTTTGGCCAGTCCGCCAACGTCACCTCCACGTCTGCGACTGCGACTGCCACGGGGTCCAGTGAGAGTACAGCTGCATCGACGGGGACGGCCGGGATGGAGCGCAGCCCGCTGGCAATGATTCCGCTATTCGATCCGCGCGCGATAGCCGACTACGACGCAGCGCACGCCTCGAGTCTGCCACACCCTCTCGTCGTGCACCCCCACACCGCTGGGACAGCGAGCACTTTGGCTGGTGGTAGCGATGCTGTGGTCGGTGCAGGCACCGCGGTGCAGGACCAGATCGCCGCTCTGCGCGCCATCCAGGCCCGCATCGACAGCGTCATCGCCGACCTCGCACGCATCGCTCCTTCCGCTCTCTCACCACCCAACGCAGATGCATCGTCTCCGTCCTGATCCATCACACCCTCGTAACCCAACTTCACAATCAGCACTTTCGCATCTTCCGTTTCCAGATGGCATTCGAGTGCGGTTCGGATTGCGACCGAGCCTCACGCGTGGGTGATAAAAATACAGAAAAGGTGAAACGCAACAGTGTGGAGGGGGCTCTTCCAACCAGCCCACTGTCCGTGTGTACATGACTGTGCGGCGTGTCTGTGCGCTTGTTCGTGTGCACGGAACGCAGTTGATTGCCTTGAAGCGCGGGTGTAGGACGCATCAATCAAGGTCCATCGGTGAGTCGTGCGACGATGCTACCGTCGCTGCGCCCATGCCGGCTCCGAGGCAACTACCATCACCCTCGATGCGGGCGACGACTTCTTCAGGCGCGGCAATCTCGAGCTCGCCTTTGCCTGCGGTCTCGGCCAGCTCCCCTGCGACCTCAGCCGTAGGCGTCATGAAACGGCTTGACTTGGGACTCTGGTTGCGCGCGTCGGGCGAGTGGGCGCCCGTCGATCTGGGTGAGTTGGGACCGCTCTTGGCTTCCTTGGCTCGCTGAGCCGCAAGCTTGACGAGGCTGCCCTTGTACGGGATCTGACCGGCCGCCATCTCGGGCGCCTTGCGAGCTCGGCCCGAGGTGCGTCGTTGTTGCGAGTCGGCCGCTTCTGCCGCCGCAGCTGCCACGTCTTTTCCTTCCGGCGGCAAGACGCCCATTTCCGCGTCTTGCACGCTGCTCTGCTCCGTCAAAGCTGCGATCGGCGTCTCCTCAGGCTTCGGTTGCTCCGACGCAGCTGCATCGCCAAAAGCATCGGCACCGTCTGCGAGAGGGGCCGAAACATCCGTGGCCGAAACGTCCGTGGCCGGGGCCTCGTCGCCTGGTTGGCCTGCAGAGACTGCTTCCGGCTTCGCCTCCACCATCGGAGAGCGTTCCGTGCTTATAAGTTCGGGCCCGAGCGCTTGGCTTTGATCCACCGCAGGCTGGTGGAGGCTCGGTTCCAAGGGCGATGCGTCCATGCGCTCCGGCAATGGCTTCAGGGTGCCAGGAGCAGCGGCGCTCTCCTGCACCTTGTTCACTGCCGCAAGCGCCGCAGTCAGGGGCGATGCGCCGTCCTTTGCCGGCTCGACTCGCGGCGCCACAGTCGCCATTGGGCTGCCGTTGAGACTCGTCGGAGGTCGACCAAGCGGGCTTCCGTTGGGACCCAGGGGCCGGCTCATCGACGTCTTGCCGCTGCCCCAACGGAGGTTCTTGCGCATGGGTTGGCCGGTGGCGCCGCGCGGAGGGCCCGCAAGCGGTGAATTGGATCGCGCCGCAACAGTCGCGAGGTCGGGTCGAATCAAGCCCGGTGGGCGGAACAGCGGTGCGGATGGAAGGAGCGGGCCTTTCGTGTCGACCAGATGGCTGGCGTCTGTGCTGCCATTCGACTGCAGCGCCTTGCTGATGGCTGAGAACATGTACGGTCGCATTGGCACGTCGGCCTCGTCTTCGTCCGCGTCGCTGTTGTCTTGACTGGTCTCTTTAGAGGTCTCTTCAGTGTCTTCAGAGACCGCGATGGACCTCGATCGCCGGCTCCTCTCCCTGCCGCTCCCGTCGTCATCGCCGTTGACCGCATCTGGACGCGACGAGGCTCGCGACTTCTTGACTTCTGGAGTGCGACTGCGACTCGACTCGGATGGGTTCCTCGGTCGCTTGGAAGGCACCGTCGGGACGAGCACCGTCTGCGGTTCTCTCTGCGCTTGCCGACGGTTCCTGGTGCCCCCGACACCGGCAGACCAGAAGAGCGCCAGGTTGGATTCGGACGTGCGCTCGACACCTGATGTCGCAAGACCGGGCATGTTGCCTGCTGAACTTTTCGGCGCCTGCGAGAGTGCGGGCGATGGGTTCGCGGCGATTGCAGCGCTTTGAACGCTTGGAACAGGTGCAACAACACCGGCCGTCACCGGTCGATCTGCTGCCGCAGCCTGAGCTTCCGCTTTCGTTCGAAGCTGTGCCAAGGAAGCATCGTTCATGCTCGATGTCTTGCGATGCTTGGATGCCGTCGGCGGCACTGATCGCGGAGGAGTCGGGGTGATACCTGCGTCCTCTGCGTCGGACGCCGACTCGGCCACCAGGCGCCGCTTCGGCTTCGGCACACCATGTTCGTCTGTGCTCGTTTCGCGGAAGCTCGATCGCCTTTCCGAGGGCTTGATGTGGATATCCTGCGATGCGCGGCGAGCGGAGAGCAGAGTGGGGCCCGGCTTTGAGGCCGCCTTTCGCCGTGCTCTGCGATCGCCTTCAGCAGCGCCCCAGTATTGGGCCAGCACGTCTGTCTTGGCGTTCTTGCCGAGCATCTTCGGCCCGGGCGGACCGGGGCTGGTGCTGGAGGAGGAGGAGGACCGGTGGATCTGACCAGATTGAGAAAGGCCAGCGACGCCAGCGGGCCGCGGACCGGTGTCCTCGTCGTCGTCCTCGTCGACGTCTTCCATCTTGACAGCGTCGCCGCGATCGGACTCGGGCTCGGGCGTGAGATCGGAGCCATCAGAGTCCAATCCATAAAGATCTTCCTGCTTGCTCGCCACTTTGAAAGTGCCGGCGGGAAGACTAGTAGCCTTGGTGACGGTGGATTTCGGAGACGCAAGCGAGCGTGCCACGCTAGCTTCGTCTTGCCGTTCTTGCACAACACTGCTATTCGCAGATGCCTTTGCTGGCCGATTCGAAGCCTTCGAAGGAGGTTTTGTAGCGGGTGAGGATGTGTTTGCTGTCCCGCTGCCCGCGCCAGTCTTTGCGGCTCGCTGCTTCTTCTGCGACTTTGGCGTGGCGTTGGCCTTGAGATCGGTGGGCGTCTGCGAGCGCTCCTTGCCATTCCTGGCCGGTGAGGAAGAGGCGGCAAAGTGATCCGAAATCATCTCGGCACTCGACTTGCGCTTGACGCCCGCCTTTCGCGCCAAGGCGCCCTCGGTCGGCACGCGGCCTGGCCAGTCGGCTTTGAAGATCTTGTAGTGACGTTCGCATCGCGGGCACTCGTCCGGAGTCCACCACTTCTCCGGCGCCCAGAATGTCGCGCCGCAGGTGAGGCAGCGACACTTGGGGCCTGCACCTTCGGCCCATGGATCGGAACGGTCGTCTGAAGGCCCATGCTCGGCAAGCTTGAGATCGGCCAGATAGTCGCGCTTGGACTTCTTGTCCTTGGCCACCTCATCGCCTAGAACGGTAGTAAGAGAGGGCGTCAAAGACGGTGTCGGTGAGGGAGAAGGGAGTGCCGAGGATGTGCCGGTCGGTCGACTCGACCGCCGCGATTGTCGTCGCCCATTTGCCTCATTCGGTGTGCCGTTGGATGAAGGTCCATCCTCCGATTTGATCTCCACGCCATCAGCTCCTTTCGTCGGCGCGTCCTCGGCTGCGGCTGACGGATCCGAGAAGGCACCCGTACCGCGGGCCTCGCAGGTGGCGCACATGCATTCCGCATTGGCCCACTCGAAGTAATTTTCGCCGTAGAAGGTGGTGATCTCCTCGTTGCGGTGGATGGGCCGGATGACCTTGAAGACCATGGTGGAGCCCATGCGGTAGAATTCGGTGTTGGGATTGCAATCGTGGTTGACGAACCTTGCTGGGCCGAGCAGAAGCTGACTGCATCCCTTGCGCGCTGACCTGATGACGGAAAAGTCGCGGCCGGGACCCAGGACGCCCTTGTATTCGGAGTCTTTGCGTATTTCGCGCGAGGCGGTGGCTTCCTCGCGCAGCGCGTCGTCTTCGCTTTTGGTGAGATCTTTTAAGCCACCCTTGCAGTGACTGATGAGCTCGCCCGGTTTGAAGGTGCGCATGGCGAGTACGGAAAGGTCGGCTTTCTCGGAGGCAGCGGGCGCAGCACCGATGCTGGTTGCGGCGCGATCGAGGGACGAACGCCCCTTGGATCTGGACTTGCCTCTGTCATCCGCGGGCGGGTCTTTGGAGGCGGGCGCGGGGATGCCGTCCTCGAGCTTGACGGCGGACGTGGAGGCGACAGCGTCGGCGCCATGCGCCTTTCCGGCCTTTTCCATCATGACGCGCTTGTACCGGGTGGTCAAGGCGAACTCGACGCCGCTCTCGGGCAGGTAGCTCTCGAGGTAGCGGCGTGCGTGCGCCTGGAAGCTGGCGGTCTGGCGCTGTGTCTTGTTGGTGAGGTACTTTTGGACGATGCCGAGCTTGCTGAGGTCGTCGATGGCGGCCGAGATGTCCTTTTCGACGACGACGCGCTTTCTGACGATGAGGCTGACAGCATTACGGTCGAATCGGTGGCCTCGGTAGTTGGGATTCATCTTGTGCGTGGAGATGGCGGGCTCGAATTCGAGGTTGTCGACGAGGACATCCGAGAGGATGTCGTCGTCGGCGGAGAGATCCTCCATGATGACGAGCGCAACGGCAGCCGGGCCGCGCGGGCTGTGGCGCGGGCCGAGCCGTGACGAAGGGAGAAACGCTTCAGCCGAGGTGGCGCGTCACGCGGGGGCGAGGGATGCTGAAGGGGAGCGGAGGTGGTGGGAGGTGGCGATGGCAAAGCATGAAGAGCTTGGCGAGAGGAGCCGTGAAACGAGCGGATGCCGGGGACAGCGATGCAGGCTGCGGATGGAGACAACCGTATGTTCGGGTGACGACGAGTCTAGGCGTGGACCGAGGTTGCGCGCATCGGGATTGGCTCTGTAGATCGAGGCTGGCAAAGAGTCAGCGTGTGTTGCTCGACGCGGAAGGAAGCCTTGAGCAGGATTCGTGATGCCAGTCGCGATGGCGGAAGGCGCGAGCGGAGGTGCCTGGAGCTCTGCGGACGCGATAAAGAGATCGGCAAGGCTTGGGGTGAGGACAGGCGGACACCGTGTGCGACGCTACGCCTTGAGGATGGATGCCCACCGCTTGTGCGAGAGGAAGCGGAGCCGGCCGGCTGACGGGTGGATGCGCGGGCGGAGGGATGGAGAAGGAGCACGTTGAAGGAAGGCTGGCGCGGCCACTTGCGTTTATAAAGGGGATGCGAGCGACGGGGTGGAGCTGCAGCCGGGCGGCAGATGCGAATTGGACGAATCGGAATCGACAGCAGCCGCGATGGCTCTGGGCGGGCGGCGGAGGAGGCGGCGGCGGCGAGCTGGGGGTGCGCCACTTTGGGTGGGGGGCCAGAAAGGGCGGACACGGCCCAGCTACAGCTAGAGCCACAGCCAGGCAGAGGAGCGAGCGCGTCTGCGCGACTGAGACCGATGATGGGGTGGATGGCCATTTGGGCCGAGAAGCCAAAGGGGCGAGCGGCTTCCAAGTGCTGTCGGAGCTGCAGCTGCACCACCGAAGGACGCGCATCTCTTGCAGACCAACTCGACTGGAACAGCAGCTTGGCGAAAGGCACAGGCAGCCGCGCGGGCGGGCGGGCAGGCTGATTTCGAGGCGATGGATCTGGATGCAGCTGAGCTGCTGCTGCAGTTGCAGCTGCAAACTGTGCTCTTCGCAGTGGTTGGGGGCGCGATTCGCGAGCGACAGTCGCCAGGCGCCTCGAGCGCCACGTCCCCGGCGTGCTGGCGTGTGCGGAGGGATGCGCCCTTGCCGCCCTCGCAGATCTGGCAGTGGAAATCGACGAGTAATTTTCAAAGCAGGAGCACAAGCACGCTGAGGCCATACTTCTGCGGCTCGCTCGCCTCGCCCGACGAGCATCCTGGCCGCCTTGGTTCGGTCCACTGCCACGAGCTTAGACAGCTGCAGATGAATGGATTCGGAGCAGCCGCATCTACGAATGGTCCCCACCACTGGGCAGCAGCAGCACCACCACCACCACCTTTCGGCTCGGGCCTCCCTTGATGAACGTGTGACTGTTTCGGCCTGCATTCGACCGATTTGCAAAGTCAAATCAGCTCGAAATTTAAGCAGGAATTCGGCAGGCCCTTCATACTCTGTGACTGCAACTACAGCAAGTCACAAAACAGTCTCAACTCGCCGACCAAGCCTGGGCTGCTTGTGAACGAGAGAACGGAACTTGGATTGCTGCCGAAAGTTTGAAGCAGCTGAGCGGTGAAAGCACGGCCGATCCAAGTCGATCCCTTCGACGGGCTCGCAGTCGCACAAATCAGCCTTTACGGATAGCAGACCTCGGAGGCCGCTGAGAAGAAGCGTCGACTGCAACTGGACACGGCTGTCGGCGACTTCACGCCTGTTGCCGGTCATTCCAGTCCTCAAGCTCAGCTCAGCTCAGCTCAGCTCAGAAAAATGCCGATGAGCCGGTCGAGCAGCCTTGACGCTGCGTAGCTACGACTCCCGCAAGCTGCTTTGGCCTACTTTGGCCAGCCTGACGTGGCCATCGGAAATTCCGGTGCCAATCGCAGGTATGGTACCGAAGCTTGGACCCTTGAGGCATTGCCAGAATTAGCAAATGCGTGGCTGCGTCACCGCCCTTCGAGCCGTACGAAAAGACCGCCCCAGTCGGCAGCAGTCACGAGCATCGATCCTCCGCCGTCTTCGGGCTTCGTATGCTCGGAACTGCGGCGCGTGGGCGGCCGAGCGACACGGTACATGGAGCGCAGGCGGGTCCATGCATCTCTCGCTCAAATCGTGCGGCTAGGCTTGCATTGGCCCGTGCTCGGCAGCGCGAGCCAACCCACAGTAGGACCCTGAGTGGGAACCACAAGCTGCCTTTTCCGAGCGCACAAAAATGGCCCCAAAAAAGGCGCAACAGAAAGCGGTCTTTTTTTGTTCACCCCTGATCACGGTCACAGGACTGCATCGCAGACAGAACAGCATCGCATGAAAGCAGATCATCTGCGCTGGAGCGAGTGAGATGTGCCCCGCCGCAGTCAGTGCAGCTGCGCACGACCAGGCGATGCAGTGACCGCACGGACGCCCCTCCATGAACTGAAAAGGAGTGATTGAAGCCTCGGGCCCACCGTTGAACTTGTAAGGCGCCAGCCTTCATGCGCCTCGTCTGACCCAGCCAGCCTAGACGAGCTTGTGCTCTTCATGAGAAGACATGGCACTCGGGCAGCGATCGGGCAAGGCCCGCTGCGTTCCAAGTCGCCTGTCACGCACGCACCGGGGCGGGACAATGCTCGCCTATATCACCGGGTCATGCCGCAGTGCGGGCGGCCAACTTTGCCAAAAAGGGCTCAGCTCCACTTTCGATTTTAGCTCCTTTCCCGCTTTCCACATCGACTTCCGCTCTCTCGCGCACCCGCCACTTTCAACCGACCCTGCGTATCA